CCCCGCTCCCCGCCCTGGCCGTGGGGCTCGTGCTGCTGGCCGGGTCCCTCATCGTGCTCTGCACCTGCCTCATCCTCCTGGTAAAACTCCTCAACTCGCTGCTCAAGGGGCAAGTGGCCAAAGCAATCCAGAAGGTCATCAACACTGGTGAGTGGGACAAGGACCACCAGGGGTGAGTGGGATGGGACTCTGCCTGCCCCATGGTCACCCACCCCCATCTCCACTTCCCATCCTCAGACCCATCCCTGGCTGCCCCTAACCCCCACACCTGCTCAACCCCTATGTCCCCTGCCTGCCCCTTATTCCCATGCTGCTCACAGCTGTCATGGCCTCCATGGTGGCTTCCCTGGCCATCCCAGCCACCAGCTGCCAGACTGACCCCATACCCAGAGTCTGGCCTCATAGCCCCCTCCCCAGCACCATGTAGGAGCTCCAGACTGCTCCCAGCTGATGTGTCCATGCTTGTGTCCATGCCTGTGCCCATGGCCATGCTGTGGCAGACCTCCCGCACCCACTCAGCTGGCTCACCGGGTACTTCGCCATGGTGGTGGGTGCTGGGATGACCTTCGTGGTGCAGAGCAGCTCTGTCTTCACCTCGGCCATCACACCCCTGATAGGTGAGTTCCAGCCATGCCTGGTACCCTGCCATGTGCTGGACCCCGCCACAACGGCCCTGCGACACAAGGCTGTTTGGAGGGATGGGAGGAGCTGTGCCTCCTTGGGAGAGCATGGGGATGGTGCTGGCAAGGAGGGGATGGGACGGGATGGGATGGGATGGGATGGGATGGGATGGGATGGGATGAGGTGCCTCTCCTGCAGGCCTGGGTGTGATCAGCATTGAGCGTGCCTACCCACTGACCCTGGGCTCCAACATCGGCACCACCACCACTGCCATTCTGGCCGCCCTGGCCAGCCCAAGGGACAAGCTGGCCAGCTCCTTTCAGGTACGGGTAGCTCAGGTCCATGGCTGGGCTGGTGGGGGGCACCGGGCAAGGGAGAAGCTAGGGGACGCTTGTGTTTCCAACACAACGGGGATACTGACTCCGGAGGTAGG